CTGGGTGAATCCCCATGGATCCATCCCTTAGGTTGGGTGGGGCAGCATTCCATGGGGTTTGACCGTGTGGTGAATCCATCCTGGGTGAATCCCCGTGGATCCATCCCTTAGGTTGGGTGGGGCATTCCATGGGGTTTGACCGTGTGGTGAATCCATCCTGGGTGAATCCCCATGGATCCATCCCTTAGGTTGGGTCGGGCAGTGGTGCATTCCGTGGGGTTTGACCGCGTCCTGCGTGTTTTCAGGGATCAGAAGGCCACGGAGCAGCTGACGAGGACCCTGCGGGGCGTGATGCGCGTGGGGCTCGTGGCCAAAGGCCTCTTGCTCAAGGGGGACCTGGACCTGGAGCTGGTCCTGCTGTGCAAAGACAAACCCACGGCCAAGCTCCTGGAGAAAGTCGCCGACAACCTGGGGGTGCAGCTGGCGGTGAGTGGGGCCATCAGGATCCCTTTGGGATCGCTCCGGTGCCCGCCTTCCGGCTCGGAAAAGTCGTTTTCAGTGGTTCTTTGGGATTGTTAAATGAACTTCTCATTAATCATGAAAGGTTTGGGTTGGAAGGGGCCTTGGAGCTCATCCCATCCCGCCCCTTCCACCAGTACACCTTGAGCTATCCCAGGTTGCTCCAAGCCCCATCCAGCCTGGCCTTTGACACTTCCAGGGATGAGGCAGCCACAGCTTCTCTGGGAAGCCCCAGCCCAGCCCCTCCCCACTCTCACAGGGAGGAATTCCTTCCCAGTATCCCACCTAACCCCACCCTCTGGCAGTGGGAAGCCATTCCCCCTTGTCCAAAGTCCCTTCCCAGCTCTCTTGGAGCCCCTTTGGGAAGAGCTTTAGGCTCCCCCCAGGAGGAGCTCTAAGGTCTCCCTGGAGCCTTCCCTTCTCCAGCTGAACATCCCCATCTCTGCCAGCCTGTCCCTGGAGCAGAGCTGCTCCAGAGCCATGGAATCATGGAATGGTTTGGCAAGATCCTGCATGTCCAGGGATCTCCAACCCTCTGCCATGGGCAGGGAGACACCTCCTGCAGCTCCAGGCTGCTCCAGGGCCATGGAATCATGGAATGGTTTGGCTTGGAGGGGACCTTAAAGGTCCTGCATGTCCAGGGATCTCCAAGCCTCTGCCGTGGGCGGGGAGACACCTCCTGCAGCTCCAGGCTGCTCCAAGGTGCTCCAGGGCCACGGAATCATGGAATGGTTTGGCAAGGTCCTGCATGTCCAGGGATCTCCAACCCTCTGCCATGGGCGGGGAGACACCTCCTGCAGCTCCAGGCTGCTCCAAGGTGCTCCAGGGCCATGGAATCATGGAATGGTTTGGCAAGATCCTGCATGTCCAGGGATCTCCAACCCTCTGCCGTGGGCAGGGAGACACCTCCTGCAGCTCCAGGCTGCTCCAAGGTGCTCCAGGCGTTGGGCTTTGGCCGGGAAGGGCAGCGGGAAGTCTCCCTGCTCGGGAGCTGAGCGGGGCCGTGGCGTTGCAGGCGATCACCGAGGACAAGTACGAGGTCATCCAGTCGGTGGGCGACGCCGCCATCGTCATCAAGAACACGAAGGAGCCCCCGCTGAGCCTCACCATCCACCTGACGTCGCCCGTGGTGCGGGAGGAGCTGGAGAAGCAGCTGGCCGGAGGTACGGCCGGCCCGGGCCCGGCAGGGCGCGGCGGAGCACCGGGAAAGCGTGCTCTTCAGCTTCAGCAAGGCGTGCTCTTCAGCTTCAGCAAAGCGTGCTCTTCAGCTTCAGCCGGAGCCCGGCGGCTCCCTCTGGGCCAAATTCCAGCGGAAAAAATTCCTTAGTTCCGCCAACCTCACGGCGATCCCCGGTTGCGGTTTATCCGGGCCGAGCACTCCGAAGCTGAGGAGCACCTTTCACGTGGGATTTTGCTCTTTTGATTTTTTTTATTTATTTTTTTTTATTTTTTTTTTTCCTCCGAGTATCGTTATTATTTTATCCTTTGTTTTGGTTCCACTTGGGCCTTTAGTTCACTAATTCATCATCTCGTTGTATTACTCGTGGTTTGTCCCCGGCCATGTCAGTGCAGTGACATGAAAATAGAAAAGCAGATTTGTTTTAAAAAAAAAAAAAAAAACCCAAAAAAAAAACCCCACCACCACCCTCTCGAAGGCTTCTTGTCCGAGGAGTTGCATGTCCATGAACCGGGGATGTTCCGGGATGTTCCCCCGGTGTGTGTTGCAGCAGAACGACGGGGTGTGCTCGGGGCCCCTCCCGCGGCTCTTCCAGCACCTCAGGTTCAGTTCTCCGGAAAGCGATGCAGAGTTTTGGATAAAGTTAGCTCCTCCAAATTCCCTTCGGGGTCAACAATCCCAGGCAACCGCTGGTTGTTCGCTCCGATTCCGATGGGCTCCGTAGGGCCGGCGGGGTCCCCCGCTCTGCACTAGCCTTATCTAAAACCCTGATCTCCAGCAGCTTCGGGCGACTTTCAGGCCCTTCCTCAGTTTTGCTGCAGCACAGACCGGGGCCCTCGTTGTGCTCTTGATTGTTGATCTCTGGTGTTGATCTCTGACCTCGTCTCCGAGCCTTCTAGTTTGTCGATTTTAGGGACGCTGGACCTTTGACCAACAGGACGTTCTCTGTCGCGGGCCGGGGCCGGGGCAGCCATCCTTCCGGGCGGAGGGTTCCCTGGATCCCCTCCCCTCCCGGGCGCAGAGCCGGGGGTCACCCACCTTAAATTCCCCCCCGGTGACCCCTCCCGGCCTCGCTGCCGCCTCTCCATCCGGCAGGGATCTCTGTCCCCTCCACCGAGCCTCTCGCTGCTCCTCCTCCCACCTTCTCCTCCTCTTTCTTCTCCTCCTCTTCCTCCTGCCTCCTCCTCCTCCTCTTCCCAGAGCGCATTCCAGCCCATCCATCCCTGGGAACTGAGCTTCCCCCCCCCATCTCTGCGGCCGCACGCCCCGGGCGAGGCCGCACGGCGGCAACGCCGCAGCCCCTTCCCTTCCCTCCCGCTCCCGGCATCCCGGCAGGATTCTTTGGGAGCCTCAGCTGCCCGTTAGGATGCTGCCTCCTCCCCCTCGGCCCGACAGAAGCCCCTTGGTCAAACCGTGCCTTGTCTTCTTATTCCATCCACGACTAGAAACGCTCTCAGTCACCGACTCCCCGGACGTTCTGGACAGGCAGAAATGCCTTGCTGCCTTGGCGTCTCTGCGCCACGCCAAGTGGTTCCAGGTTTGCATTTTGTTCTTATATTTATCTTTAAGTAGAAACATTGGTAAACTCTTTAAGGGGCTGAGTGTTTTTTTTCGGAGTTGGAGTGGCCGCCGGCCGCTCGGAGGTGCCGGACTTAGCGGCTGTGGGGCGGCACAGCTGCTAAAGAGGCGCCGCGGTGACACTTTAGGAGCCTTTTGGTTTTTCTTTTGGTATGGAGCAGCCGCGGAGCTGCTGCTTTGTGTGAGGAGTCAGGTCGGTGTGGCCGTGCCCTCGGTGTGGCCGTGCCCTCGGTGTGGCCATGCCCTTGGTGTTGCCATGCCCTTGGTGTTGCCATGCCCTCGGTGTGGCCGTGCCCTCGGTGTGGCCATGCCCTTGGTGTTGCCATGCCCTCGGCGTGGCCGTGCCCTCGGCTCGGCCGTGCCCTCGGCGGCTCCGGGCTCAGCTCCAGGCACGGAGCTCCTCCGGCTTTACCCTCGGCAAAGCAGCACCTCGAGAGGGACTGGACGGCGCGGGCGGGCGCGCTCGGTGAATCCCTCTGTGGTTTCGGTTCCACTTCCAGGCCAGGGCCAACGGGCTGAAGTCGTGCGTCATCGTGATCCGAGTGCTGCGGGACCTCTGCACCCGCGTTCCCACCTGGGCCCCGCTCCGAGGATGGGTAATTCCCTCCCTTCTCCCGTTCCCGGGGGGATGAGGGTGGTGGGGGGGGGCTGGCAGCATCTCTCTGGGCTGAAGTTCAGCTCTCCTCTTTCCCAAGTTTCCAAGGCACGGCCCCTTTCCCAAGTCAGGGGGTTGCTATGGATGAGCGACGTGTCCGCCCTTAAAGGGGCAGAGCGGATGTTGTGTGGTGCCAATCAGCCACCAGCACAGTGTTAATTGGCTTATCAATTACCCTTCACATTGTTAATTGCCTTATCAATGACCCACCACATTGTTATTGGCCTTATCAATTACCCTTCACATTTTTAATTGTCTTA